TAGTTTCTGTTGAGAAATCAACTGACAATCATATGGGTGCTCCCTTGTATTATAGGTAACTGTTTTTCACTTGCTGCTTTTAAGATTCTTTGTCTTTTGCTCTTGGCATTGTTATTATGATGTGTCTTGGTGTGGTCCTCTTTGGATTTCTTTTGTTTGGGATTATGTGTGCTTTCTGGACTTGTATAATAAATCTATTTCTTTCACCAGGTAAGGGAAGTTTTCTGTCACTATTTCTTCAAATAGGTTTCCAGTATCTTGCTCTCTATCTTCTTTTGGGACCCCCATAATTCTGATGTTGGTATGCTTGAAGTTATCCCAGAGGCTTCTTACACTATCTTCAACTTACTGTAATCTTTTCTTTTTCTTTTTCTGAAGGATTGTTTTTTGCTTCTTGATATTACAAATCTTTGACTTGACTCTTGTGATCCTCTAGTCTGCTTTTAGGTCTCTGTATAATATTTTTTATTTGTCAGTATATGCTTAATTTCTAGTTGATCCTTTTTCATATCCTCAAGGGTCCCATTAAATTTATTGGCCTTTTCTAGGAAATTCTTGAAAAACCTTATAACCGTGGTTTTAAACTCTATGTACAATATTTTGCTTTCCTCCTTTCATTTGTGCCTCTTTGTATCTGCATTTTAGCTGAGTCCCTGAGTTCATAGAGTGGCTCTGTGTGCTAGGTGTCCTAGTAGGGCCCAGTGGCTCAGCCTCCCCAGTTACCTAAGGTGCACATTCTTGGTGTATCCCTTTGTGGGCTGTGTGTGTGCCTTGATTGTTGTTGGTATCACAGGGGGGGGAGTTGACCTCCAGGCCAAATGGCTGTGAGGATCAACAGTGTCTCCGCTGGGAGAGCTGCTGTACTCAGCATGGCTGGGGCAGAGTCTCAGGGTGGAGCAATCAGCCTTGGTTTCCCATAAGCCCTGCCCTAAGAGGCTCCTGTGTCTTAGTGTTCCACAGCAATGGCTGCACACACCTCTGGGAGAAGGTTGCTCTTGAGTTTCGCCCGCTGCCAGACAGACCGATTTCTCCCTGAATGAGTCTGTGTACCCAAAAGCCTCACCCGGAGCTGGAGTTCAGTACAGTCAGGAGGTTTTGTTTCCCTCCCAAATGAGAAAGCTAGCCATGTGAATGCTGCCTGCCCTCTCCATACACCGCGAGTCAGCCAGCAGTGTATTCAGCCACCCACCCTTCCACAAGCACGGGTCTCTGCACCTCCACAGCTCCTCTGAGTCTCAGTGTCCTTTTCTCTTTCCTTCTAGTTGTAGAATTTCCATTCAGCCAGCTTTCCAGTGGTTCTGGACAATGTCTGCTCTGTCTTCCAGTTGTCTTCCTCTAGTATTCTTAATAAATTGGCTTGTTTTACTTCAACACTATTGTCACTCATGTGCTTTATCACAAGTATGACAAGAGCCAAAGAGGAGAGAGCCAAGCTCCCTTCAACTTGACCAGCTCTCCAGTAACAAATCTAGGAAGACTAATACCCTAAAAATTAAAAGTCCAAAAAGAGAAAACAGAGAAAATGAAAGAGAAAAAAATTGAGTGCACAGCAAAAAAAAATTACCATTAAAATAACCCATAACCAAGACACAGATATCTTGAAATTTTAGAATGCTGAAGATAAAGATTTAAAAAGTTTCCAAGTAAAAAAATAGATCACATTAAAAGATTGAGCAAGCATAATGCATCCAAATTCTCAATAGTAACAATAGGGAAAAAGTAATACTTTTAAAATTATAGATCAAATTGTACCTAAACTACAACTCTTTAACCAGCCAAATTAACAAATATGGATGAAGAATAAAAATATTTTTACATATGCAAGATTTCAAAAATGTTTTCTTCCAATTCTGGTTAGGTAGCTCAGTTGGTTGAAGCATTGTCCTGATTCACCAAGGTTGAGTGTTCAATCCCTGGTCAGGGCATATACAAGAGTCAACCAATGAATGAATGAATAAGTGAAACAATATATGGGTATTCATTCCCTCTCTCTCTCTTTCTCTCCCAATCAATTAAAAAAAAAATTTCTTCCATAAATCCATTATCAGAACTCTAATGAAAATGTGCTTTACCAAAGATAGTAATAAAAATAAGTGAGGCCCTAGCTGGCATGGCTCAGTGGATAGAGTGTTGGCCTGCAGACAGAAGATTCACAGGTTTGATTCTAGTTAAGAGCATATGCCTGAGTTGTAGGCTCTATCCCCAGTAGGGGGCATACAGGAGGCAGCCAATCAATGATTCACTCTCATCATTGATGTTTTTATCTCTCTCTCTCCCTCTCCCTTCCTCTCTGAAATCAATAAAAATAAAAGTAAGTGGGACGCATGACTAGCACAGAGTCTAAAATAGGAGGAAGGCAAAGGAAACAAACAATGACAACTAAATGCTGTTCAAAATTAAACAGAACAAAGTTTCCCAAAGGATGTTTTTTAATGAAAGAAAAAATGAAATTGACACAAATATTAAAATGTTTATGTGTAGTGCATAAAGATTTACACTTTCATTAGGAAATGTGGGACTAAAATACTAATATATATAAAGAAAACACAGCCGAAACGTCCCAGGTTCGATTCCGGTCTAGGGCATGTACCTTGGTTGCAGGCACAGCCCCAGTAGGGGGTATGCAAGAGGCAGCTGATCGTTGATTCTCTCTCATCGATGTTTCTAACTCTCTGTCCCTCTCCCTTCTTCTCTGTAAAAAATCAATAAAATATTAAAAAAAGAAAAAAGAAAAAAAAAGAAAACACAGCAAGTGAAAACTGGCATAATTATTAACTCCAGGAAAAATAATAAGAAGTATAAAAAAGAAAATGCAATTATAGGCTATTATATGTCACAATTTAATGGCAGACAAAAAATTTTAAACACTAATTATTAATTCAAACTAAAAGTTGAGACTATACTACATTGATAAATAAAATCTTCATGTTTTCTTAAAGATACTATTTAAAACATAAAAACAGAAAATCAGCACTAACAAACTTTCCAGAACCCAGAATCACATACTTCATACCCTGATTTTTAAGTTCCTTCCTTCTCTTTCATACTCTAAGAATCTCACTAAAATTACCAATTCTTTTCTACAAAACGCATTATAGAAATACGGGAATAAACATGAAAAGAAACATTTTAGTATTTTAAAGAACATGTCTTGGAAGAGAGGGATGGGGCAGGAAGATATTGATTTAGCCATACTTAACAGATCTATTTGACTTTTAAAAATATATACATGAATAACTTTGATCAAAATAAAAATGTCATCAAAAAAAAAAAAAAAGGTTATCAATTCAAATCAGATTTTTTAAACTGTTAATTTTTAAAAAGCAAAAGAATGCCTTCCACAAAACAATTTGAAGTTCATTTGGTCCCCCTTTTAAAATGTCTTCTGGTGACAATTATTTAAATTCATCTAAGGTTATAATTATGCCCAATTCAATTATCTTTAAAAAGTTAGGGCTAGTGGTCATCTATAACCCAGGTAAGAATTAGAACTGTAAATGCTAGATTCAGGAAAGTAAGATAGAGAAAATCACTATCTTCTCCTTAAAGAGATCAAAATGCTTTACAATAGAGAACATGAAATATGAATAAAAGGAAAACATTTAACTTCTTATATTATAAATGAAAATAAGTTTAAAAAAATACATCACAATAGATATTATGATATTAATTAATTTTATTTCCCTCTGTCCTCCCTCCTTAGGAGACCAAATAAGACCATATTTTCTACATCACCACTATATCATCCTTTTCCTACAGCCTTAAGAAAATGATAGGAATTTCTGGTATAATAATTAACAATCATAACTGTCTTAAGACAACCTATATAAAAAAAAGCCTATGCAACCATTATGGTGGAACCACCAGAATGACCAGTCACTGTGATGCACACTGACCATCAGGGGGCAGATGCTTAATGCAGGAGCTGCACCCTGGTGGTCAGTGCCCTCCCACAGGGGGAGCACTGCTCAGCCAAAAGCCAAGCTCAGGGCTGTCAAGCACAGTGGCGATGGCTGGAGCCTTTCCCACCTCCGTGGCAGAGCTAAGGAGCAGCAAGCCAAATGGTAAGGAGGAGCAAGCCAAATGGTAAGGAGCAGCAAGCAGGCGGGTGGTAAGGAGCAAAGGGTTCCAGACTGCAAAAGAGGTGTATGCCTGCCAGTTTAGGCCTGTGGAGAGTGGGCCTAAGCCGGCAGGCAGCCTGTGGGATCCCTGTGGGATCCCGGACTGCAAGAGGTTGCAGGCCGGATTGAGGGACTTCCCCCTCTCCTCCAAACCCAGTGCACAAATTTCATGCACCAGGCCTCTAGTCTAAATATAAACCAGGATTCTCTAGAGCCCAAATTGTCAGATACAGTCTGATTTTTTTTTTAAGTTTGCAGGAAATAGATTAATTGCCCTTTCATGCATTAAAGTAAAAAAAAAAAATTTAAGAATTTTTTTGAAAGTTATCTTATTATTCTTAAGGCATATTATATAAGTAATTATTATTTTTTAATATCACATTAGGTCCAAAAAAATGGTTTTCTACCTTCTAATATTCTACAAAAGAACCCCAAAATGCCAAATAATACAAGTTTATAAAAATTATATATCAAAATATATCCTCTGAATTTATTACATTTAATATGTTGAAATATAACATGGTAGTGTTGAAAGAAATCTTGTAACACAATGTAATATTGATACCTTATGCTCTTCTTGGCTAGATTAAAAAGAGCTGTATAGAAAGCATGAAGAGTAACTGCTCTTTACCTGCTTAGATTTCCTATTTTAAACCCAACAGCATTTTCTTTGTCCATTTATCTGCTCATATAATCACTACAGCAATTACGACTTAGGTTTTAAATATTTTTAACAGCATTCCTTAGACAGATGATTAAAGCTGAGATTGCAGTAAGTGTCTAGAATAAAGTAAAAGCTGTCCTGGGAGAAACCAAGGCACCTACTAACTTATTTTAAGGCCTTTTTAAAATTTAAAACAAATGCAGAAAAACACTTACCTCGGCAATATTCCATTAAGATAAGTACTTCCCATACATTATCACTAATTGAATTAATGGCACAATCCAAAAAGCCCACAATATTTTTGTGACCAGATAGCTCTTTCTGTAAAAAGGAAACAAAATTTCCAGAATTAAAAATATACATTTTAAAGCTCTATCAATACCAATGATTTGAAATCCTAATGTACTTAGACTAGAATTTCATAAAGTAAGACAGGCCTGAGTATGGAATCTGACATATTTCAAAAAGGTTTCTATAGTTCTGATGGAGAGTATTTACATGTGATCATCATTTACTGACAGGCAAATATTCAGTGAATACTTATCTTTAAATTCAATCAAGAAGAAAGATGGTTCACTCTAAAGTAATAGTTTCCAAAAGTGTACAAGATAGTCTTTAGAGACTCAAGAATAAAATATCAGAATTTTACTTATATTTATTTTAATCCAGAAAAATAATAAGCTCTAATACAGAGATGCACAAGATAGGTTTACAGTTGTGAGTACAAAAAACAGAGTTTATTTTATATTTTCCATACAAATAACTGTAAACCTACTTTGCCCATCCCTATATTTATGAATTAACAATTATATTCTTTAATGTTTTGCATGCAACATTGCAATTAATGTGTAAACAAAATGGCCTAAAAATATTTCTTTTAAGAAACCATAATAATACTACTTATAATACAAGTAACAAAGATATAATAAGAAAATGGCAAATCTGACACTTTCAGCTCCTAGTATAAGTTAATCATCAGCACATACTGAGGTTTATAGTAATCATATCCAATCATGTCCATCTGGAAATTAAAAAAACAATTATCAAGAATACTATTTTAAGTGAATTTATATCCACTATCACTAATAATAAACCTAGTTTTAACTGTGTAATGAAATTTGACAATTGGCTAATGGAAGCTGAACATGTCACTAATTCATAAATAAGTATATATAATGGATATGGATTATCAAAAACAGTTGGAAGACCACTGCTCTACAGAGCTAATCTCCCTAAAATATCTTATTCAAGAGCCTAAGACTTGAGTGTTGCTAATGTTGATGATGACTTTATTTTTATGTCTCTAAATTATACACATTCTACTAAAAGTACCATATCTAGGTACTTATCTAAGTTCCAGTTAGTTAGAAAACTTGGGCTAAGATTTTCCCATTATCTTGGGATAAATTATTTTATTCTTTTGGCTTATAGCCTTACCTTTAAAAAGAAAAAAGAAAAAGAAAAAAAAGCAAGTCTCAAAGTAAGAAATAGGGACAACAAAAGCAGAACTGAGATTAAGTCAGACTGAGACTATACAAATGTACCTATTTCAAACCAAAGGGATCAAAATAGGTGGGCTGATAAAGATGTTGATAAAAAATAGGAAATATCCCTCTTAATAGCTGGATAAGTAGGACTGGTATAAATAACAAGTATGGAAAAATAAGAATGTAGAAAAACTGAACATTCATATATAAATGTCTAACCATCATGTTGTACACCTGGAACTAACAGAATATAGAATGTAAATTGTAATCAAAAATTAAAAATTAATTTTAAAAAATATTGGAACAGTCATCCATTGCTGATATGACTATAATGTGGTTCAGCTACTGAGGAAAACAGTTTAGTGGTTCCTTAAAAAGTTAAACACAGAAATACCATATGACTCAGTAACTCCATTCCCAGATATATAGACAAAGAACTGAAAACAGGTACTCAAACAAATACACATCTACATATATTAATAGCAGCACTATTCATATAGCCAAAAAGCAGAAACAGTCCAAATATTCATTGATTTTTTTTAATATCCAACAACAGATGAACAGATAAACAAATTGTGATAAATGTATATAAAATGGATTATTCGGCCAGAAAAAAATAATGAAATATATGCTACAATGTGTGTAAACCTCAAAAACATGCTAAGTGAAAGAAGCCAGATACAAAAGTTCATATTTATCTCTTCTGATTATTTCATATAAGTGGAATTCATATGAAATAATCAGAATAGATAAATCCACAGAGATATAATAGACAGGTAGTTGTAAGTGGCTAAATCAAGTAATGGAATGTAACTGCTTAATGAACAAGAGGATTTCCTTTTGGAGTGATAAAAAGGTTTTAGAACTAGCTCAACGTGGTGGCTGCACAAACATTGTGAATGTACTAAATGTCATTCATTGAATTATTCATCTTAAAATGATCAGTTTTATATTATGTGAATTGTACCTCAATTAAAAAATTATACACACACACACACACACACACACACACACACACACACACTAGCACTTGATAAACAGTAGATGAGGAAGAAGAGAACAGAACAAAAAAGGGGAGGAGGTGGGAGTGTGGTAGAACAATAAGAAGCCATCCAGAACACTGAGAATGCTAGAAAATAGGGAAATTGCTGTTTCGTAATCTTTTTTACTGCTTACTGAATTTTTCTTTAATGGCCTATTAAAATATAATACTTTTTAGTCCCAGCCAGGTGGCTCAATTAGTTGGAGCGTTGTCCTGTACACCAAAAGGTTGCAGGTTCATGGGTCAGGGCACATTCCAAGGTTGCCGGTTAGATCTCAGGTTAGAGAACAACATATTGATGTTTCTCCCTCCCTCCCTCCCTCCCCCTCCTTCTCCTTCTCCCTTTCTCACTTTCTCTTTCTCTAAAATTAATAAATGTATCTTCAGGTGAGCATTTTAAAAAAAGAAAATTTTTTTTTAAAAAATACTTTCACTTTTCCTAATATTTAAAAAGAATTGTTCTCTTGCTAAAGGGTATCTTATATATTGCAAAGTACACCAAAAAAACTGAACAACTAATGCCATGATTTTAAAAATAAAAAGCAAAACTAATCACTGTCTGTGAATACAAACACATACAATGAATATATGAACACCTTTGTGAATTTTAAATACCAAACTCAGGACAGTGGTTACTTTCCAGATGGGAACGTAGGAGATATTTTTGGAGTGGAATACACAGAAAACTTCAACTGTCTGTAAGGTTCTAATTATTGATCTGGGTAGTGAGTAAATTGGTGTTTATTATATAATTCTCTAAATTTTCCTATTCTCAAAAATTATCCATAATTAATTTTAAAAAAAGAAAGCAGAATAGCATGCCCAATGAACAACAGTAAAGAAGAAAAGAAAGAGGACAGATAAGAGTTGGCTGTATTTAGACCTAACTGTGGCTACAAAGAATGTACTTCAAATTCCCATATAATTTTCCACATTAATTTAATGAGGTTCAAAGGTTTTCTAGATGTGCATAAACCAACAAGCATTTTGCCTAAAAGCTGGTTAAAGTTATAGTACAAAAACGATAGAAAATACTCTAATTTTTTTAATGGAATTATTCTTTTACTTACCATAATTTTAATTTCCCTTTTACAAATGTTGAGGTCAGACAAGTTATTGACATACATTCGCTTCAATGCATGGCGGATTCCACCATGAGTCCGCACCAGGAAAACTGTGGAGAATCCACCTAGAAGAACAAGTACCAATTAATTAAAAAGAATCAGAAACTACTTCCAAAATCATGTAATATTGAAGAGCTGAATCTCATAAGAAAATAAACTGACTGTTCCCAAAACAAAAATAAAAACAGTAAGCATTTAATAAATTAGATTAAAACCTGTGATATTGCCTTCCTCTAACAATCATCAAGTAGCACTTAAGAGGACAACATGAAAATGAATATGCTTGTGTTTTGAAGATTAAAATACCATAATTTCAGCTGAAACCGGTTTGGCTCAGTGGATAGAGCATCGGCCTACGGACTGAAAGGTCGCAGGTTCGATTCCCACCAAGGGCATGTACCCTTATAGGGGTGTGCAAGAGGCAGCTGATCGATGATTCTCTCATCGATATTTCTAACTCTCTATCCCTCTATCTTCCTATCTGTAAAAAATCAATAAAATATATTTTAAAAAATAGTTCATTCCTTAAAAAAAATTTTTTTAAAAATAAAATACCGTAATTTCATCTTGTATGTGAACATCTTTTATATGGTATGTGGAAATTGTCCCGTAGAAATTAATATAGATGGCATATATTAGTGATTGGCTACCCCTCAGCCTCTGCCTCTTCTGTGATGACAAAACACTGATGTTAATTAAAACTAGAGGCCCAGTGCACAAAATCTGTGCGGGGGTTGGGGGGGCAGTATCCTTCAGCCCAGCCTGCATCCTTCCAAACTGAAACCCTTTGGGGGTATGTCCGACTGCCCGTTTAGGCCCGATCCAACATGCCTCTCACAATCTGGGACTGCTGGCTCCCAACCGCTCGCCTGCCTGCCTGCATGATTGCCCCTAAACACTTCTGCTTACCAGCCTGATCACCCCCTAACCACTCCCTTGCCAACCCTGATTGACACCTAGCTGCTCCCCTGCCAGCCTGATTGCCCCCAACTGGCCTCCCCTGCTTGCCTGGTAAACCTCAACTGCCCTCCCATGCCAGCCTGGTCGCACCCAACTGCCCTGCCCTCCCCTGTTGGCCTGGCCACCCCCAACTGTCCTCCCTCCCCTGCAGGCTGAGTCACCCCCAACTGCCCTTCCCTGCTGGCCTGGTCAACCTGAACTTCCCTCCCCTGCTGGCTTGCCCCCCTCAACTGCCCTTCTCTGCTGGCCTGATCTCCCACAACTACCCTCCCCTGCTGGCCATCTTGTGGCTGCCATCTTTGACCACATGGGGGCAGCCATCTTGTACGAGGGTGTGAGAGTCAATTTGTTTATTACTTCTTTATTATATAGGTTTATGTAGGATAAGGCATCAATAGAAAAAGGAAAATATGCCTTACCAACTATATTAAAAAATTTAAATCAAACCACAATTCAGAATGTACTATTTGGAATGATCAAAAAAGGGCCCAGAAGTAAGCAGCAGATATATTGGAGACATGCAATACTGCATTAATGAATACTTAATAAATATTTATTTGTTCATTTAATTAGACTTCCTTACAGCTCACAGAATGCTTTTTTAAAATTCTCATAACAAGAGAACCAAGATGGCGACATAGGTAAATACCTGTACTTGCTGCCTCCCATAATCATATCAAAAATACAACTATTATCCAGAACCGCAGGAAAACAGGCTGAGTGGAAATATTACAACTAAAGAGGTAGAGAAGAAACTGCATTGACACTGGTAGGAGATGTGGAGGCACAGAATTGAAGGTCAGATAAAGAGCTTCACAGATAAAAAAAAGTTAAAGGAGTTCATCGACACCAAACCAGTATTATATGAAATGCTGAAGGGTATACTTTAAGAAGAGGAAGAAGAAAAAGGTAAAGATAAAAATTATGAACAAAAAAGTGACAACAAATACATATCAACAAGTGAATCTAAAAATCAAATGAAAAAAATCTGGAACAGAAGTGGTAAATATAAAAGAATCAGGGGCATGGAAATGGAGCAGACTGACAATTCTTGGGGGAAAAGAGGTGTGGGGGGTGTGCGGAAAGAGATGGGACAAAGATCTTATATGTATGTATGCAATCCTATAGATGTGGACAGTGGGGTAGCGAGGGTCTGGGGTGGGATGGGAACTGGGTGGAAGAGAGCTAAGGGGGAGAAAAAAGAGGGACATCTGTAATAATCTGAACAATAGATATTTTTTAAATGATTAGTAATATAAAACTAGGCCTAATCTGAGAAGCCCTGCTGTTTTTATTTACTGTTCTGCCATTTGGCATCTGCTACTGTAAAGAAATACTTAGAAAATGTCAATAAATTTTTGAGTTTGCATTAAAAAAAAAAAAAAAAAAAACTCTCATAGCTTCCTGTGCATGTGATAGCATACCTGGATGCTATCTATTCCACTAGATGCTAAGCAACCTGACAAGGGCCTCACTCACTGTAAATGCAAAATGAATAATCAATGTGCTTAGAGCATAACTATTAAAACACTTTTGAATTAACCAAATGGCTCCAAATTTTTTTTTTAAAAAAGAGGTATTTTTAAATGCCTTGCTAAAACTAGCATACACTAGTATCTTCGACATAACCTGGCTACAAGTAAACAGTTTCTTAGTCAAGAAATTAATTTTTTCAAGCATAATGTACAATCAATAAATGACTATTGGCTCCTAATCAGTACTTTCTTTCCAAAGAAATAAAAATCTAGCTTGAAATGAGTTAATAAAATTAGATACCATTAAATGTTTTCTATAATTCTTATTTCAATCCCTTAATTTTAGCCAACACTTTGAAGGACACTATTCATTCCCCAAAATGGTAAGACTGTCAACAGAATTGGGAGAAAAAGATATCAAAATTGAGAAGTACATTATTAAAACATTGATTCAGCAAACATCTTCAATGTACACCAAAATCCTTGATGAAAGGTTGATGAGAAATAGGATAATCACATGATGCCAAATTATCAAAAGGCAAAACATTCCTTTACAAGGAAGAAATCTTTTTTTTTTTTAAGTACTATATTTTATTGATTTTTTACAGAAAAGAAGGGAAAAGGAGAGAGTCAGAATCATTGATGAACAAGAAACATCAATCAACTGCCTCTTACACACTCTCTACTGGTGATGTACTCGCAACCAAGTACATGCCCTTGACCGGAATCAAATCTGGGACCCTTGAGTCCGCAGACTAATGCTCTATAGACTGAGCCCAAACCGGTTAGGGCACAAGGAAGAAATCTTGGCATCACTAACATTGGCATTAATATAGACATTATGTGCTTCCTGATGTGATAGAATATGAAGTAATCAGCATTACCTTTGCAGTGCCTCTGCCAAAAACCTTTAACCTAATAAATCTTAAGGCTTAACTTCCAGTTAAGAAAACAGGGGCTAGAAGGAAAATAAAACACAAAGAAACAATCCTACAAAGTCCAAGATCCTGACTACTTGGCTAATTGTCTTATACAGTGTTCCACATTCGAAATAAACAAAAACAAAAAATGAAGGGGTAGGGTTATTCTAGATTGTAAAAGACGTTATAATAAAATGCCATACATGCTGAAACCGGTTTGGTTCACTGGACAGAGCATCAGCCTGTGGACTGAAATGTTCCAAGTTCAATTCCGGTCAGGGCAGGTACCTTGGTTGCAGCCACATCCCCAGTGAAGGGTGTGCAGGAGGCAGCTGATCGATGTTTCTCTCTCATCGATGTTTCTAGCTCTCTGTCCTCCTCCCTTCCTCTCTATAAAAAAATCAATAAAATATATATATTTTTAAATGCCATACATAATCCTTGATTAAATCCAATCTTTAAAGTAAACTTTTTCATTGGTGAACAATTTGAAAGTCAGTTGTAGGTATCATGTCATTTTACTAATTAATACTTAAAGGGTATTGGGTAAAAGAAGTGAAGAGATTAAGAAGTACAAACTAGTATTTATAAAATAGTCACATTTGCCGGGACCGGTTTGGCTCAATGGATAGAGCGTCAGCTTGGGGACTGAAGGGACCCGGGTTTGATTCCAGTCAAGGGCATGTACCTTGGTTGCGGGCATATCCCCAGTAGGGGGTGTGCAAGAGGCAGCTGATCGATGACTCTCTCTCATCGATGTTTCTAACTCTCTATCTCTCTCCCTTCCTCTCTGTATAAAAATCAATAAAATATATATTTTTTTTAAAATAGTGACATTTTATACATAAAGTACATTATAGGGAACATAGTCAATAATATTACTGTAACTGTGTATGGTGCCAGGTGGGTAGTGGAAATACCAGGGCAAAAACCTTGTAAAGTATATGATTGTCTAACCACTATATTGTACACCTGAAACTAATAAAAATTAATATTGAATGTAAACTGTAATTGAAAAATAAAAATAAATAATGCTTAACAGTTACTTAAACACATTTACATTCTTAAGATGGATATATTATCCTAACTAATCATAGTACCTTTCTATCCCACCTAAGAAAATGAACAATAATCTAGTTCATACACATCAACCTTATTCAAAGTTATCCATGTGCTTTTTAAAAATGTTTAGAGGAGCCGAAACTGGTTTGGCTCGTGGATAGAGCATCAGCCTGCGGACTGAAGGGTCCTGGGTTTGATTCCGGTTGCGGGCACATCCTCAGTGGGGGGTGTGCAAGAGGCAGCTGATCGATGATTCTCTCTCACCGATGTTTCTAACTCTCTATCCCTCTTTCTTCCTCTCTGTAAAAAAATCAATAAAATATATATTTTTTTTAAATGTATAGAGGAAAGATTAGTTGTTATCTACATCATGGTTATATGGTTATTCATTATAGTACTCTTTCAATTTTTCATAGTAAATTGAAAAAAAAAGAAAAGAAACAAGAAACACAGGATTCTTTTCCCCAGGTAATTCTTCTCTCCCTTGCCATCCACCAACCTTACCACCACCACTGAGAATAATTTTACAAGAAAGACACTGCTACTTGTTATTCAGACACAGCTTCCCAAAGGCACCATAAGTCTCTTGCCACTGAAAATGTTTATGGTATCCTAGATACCTTCAGCTCCAACATCCCAACACACACA